CAGACGCCGCCAGCGAAGGCAACGACCGCGAGGGCGACGAGAACGCGAGGGCGGCCCGCGCGCGGGCGGACCTCATGCTGGCGTACAGGCCGGCCCAGGCGGCACGGGTCCTGCCTGCCTGCCTGCTTGCCTCGCCCCCCCCCTAATTCCTAAACAACTGGGCGTCCCCAATTGGCAGTTCTTCGGCTGATCCATGACTCGCCCGAAGAAATCTTCAGCGGCGGCCCGCTCGCACACTTGGCAGTGTGGTCAGTGATCCATCCCTGCCTCCCTTGCCTTCGTTCCTCTTCCCCACCCTTCCTCCTTCCTCTTCCTCCCTCTTTCCCTTTTTCCTCCATTCCTCCTTGCCACTTACCTTCCTCTTTCCTTCGCTCCGTTCTGCTTCGCCGCTGGCACGTTCGGCATTACTGGACGATCACAAATATCCTCCATCCATCCATCCATCCATCCATCCATCCCTTTTTCCTTCTTCCCTCCCCCCAGGCCGACCCAATAGGGGGGCCAGAGTAGATGGGGTCGGAGGATCGCGCCGCATCACAGATGCATCGGCGACGCAGTTCGATTCGGAGCCCGCCTCTCTCCGCGCCAACATCGCCAGTGCATCGTCGATGCATTGCGACCCTGCGACCCCATGTGTTCCGACACCATGTGGGCGGTCTCCACCCTCCGTCTCACGTTGTGGAGCAGCTTCGTTGTGGTGATATATAGCGGTTGAGAGTGAAGTGTTCAGTTGTTCTGCTTGAGAGTGAGGTGTTCAGTTGCTCTACGCTGTGGCGAAAAATTTGGACGGTCCCCACTCCCTCCCTCCCATCCTCCTGCAGGTGACTCCCTCCCTCCTGTGCGCGCCGGCAGCAGCAGGCCCCGGAGCTTCTGCTGCTTGACTGGCGCGGGCGCTCATCCCTCCATTGTTTGTGCTTGTTCTTGCACGCGAATGCGTCCGCTTCTCGCTCGGGCTGGTGCGCCCTCCCCCTGCGCGCCTGGCGTGTGCGGCAGGGGTTGGCCAGCGCGCGCGGCCTTCTGGAGCCGCCCTCGCGAGCCCACGGAGGAAGGGGCGGAGGCGGAGGGAAGGGGCGGGGGCCAGGGGAAGGGGCGAGGGGCAGGAGAGGAGGAGGAGGAGGAGGAGGAGGAGGAGGAGGAGGAGGAGGAGGACGAGTTCTGGCCCACCACGCTCTGGAGCGGCACGCCATCCACGGCCCAGTCCCCGCCTCGACCCCTCCTCCTCCTCCACTCCCTCCTCCTCCTCCTCCTCCTCCTCCTCCTCCTCCTCCTCCTCCTCCTCCTCCTCGATACGCTATCCACTCGCAAGGCATAGTGTGTCGCTGGGGCCGCCGCCGCGACACGGTAAGCAGAGATGCCCGACCGTAGCTGGGCACTGGTGCCGGCACTGTTGCCTCGCGGAGCGTTCTGGTGGCCACCCTGAGACAGTTTGGCGGCCTTTCTTGGGCCCTCGTTTCCATCTCCCGCCATCTGATTTCGGGGAGTGACAGGTGTGGCTGATCTTCGCTCGATCTTTATGTAAATTTGTGTCGAGATGTCTTCCAATCGATTCGTGCATCGGCCGTCAATTCAACAAGTTCGCGAAGCGGTGTCATCTGCTTTGAAGTATCAAATGGCCTTCGGCCCATCCCGCCACCTTGCCTTGGTTGCAACCCAGAGGACTCTTGGATGCCTGTGAGGATATCTTGGGAGGCCTCTCCGAAGCCTCTTGGAGGTGGGTGTGGGGTGTCTTTGGGGCCTCTCGGTGGAAGCTTGGTGGCATCTTGGGGCCTGATTTGGGCCTCTTTGGTGCCTCCTGGAGCGTCTGGGGGGCTTCTTGAGGCCTGCTGGCGGTCTCGGAGGTCGTCTTGGGGCGGAGGGCTCGAAATGTCCGGTCGTGTTCCCCCTCTGGGGCCTCTTTTGGGCCCTTCTTCGAGCATTCTGGAGCCGCTAGGGGGTAGAAACGTGCAAGTATGCTAATAGCGCACGTTTCTCGGAGGGAGTGCGACGATGTTTGCTTCTTGGGCTCTCTTGGGGGCGCTCCAGGGGCCTTCTGGGAGCGTCTTGTGCTCCCAGGAGCTCCCGGAAGCTCCCAGGAGAACTGCCTGCAGCACATCGCGAATTGGGCGTTCCATGCAGAACGCGAGTTTCCAGGCCTTCGGCGACTAGGGGTTCTTGAAGATGTTGATCGAGATTATCATGTTCTTGTTGTTGATACTCCTGATCATGGCGTTGCAAGCCAGAAGCTTGACGTCGGAACGCTGAGCAAGTGTGGCCAGTGGTGATGTTGGAAGCGCCGAGCAAGTGTGTTTGTTCCTGTTGGGCGCGGCCCACTTACTGCGTCAAGATGTCAAGTTGAAGACGAAAGCGATGGGCAAGTGTGTCCCCCTCTGGGGCGCTGGACAAGTTTCGGCGGGCGTCGCTTGCCACTAAGCTGAAGTCGAAAGCGCTGAGCAAGCGTTTCTCCCTTGCTGCACAAGTTCCGACGGGTGTCGCAAGCCACCAAGGTTAATACGACAGCGCCGCTCAAGTCCATCCCTTTCGGGCTGATGGGTACGTTGCGTCGGGTGCGTCAAACCATCAAGCTGAAGACGAAAGTGTTGAGCAAGCGTATTGCCTCTCAGGTGTTGGACAAGTGTCGGCAGTTTTCGCACGCCACCACATTGGCGAACACGGTGAACAAGTGTGTCCCTTCCCGGCTGCTGGTTCAAATTATCATGATAGATATTATGAGTTATTTGAGTTGTGCCCCTCGTTATTGCCGTTGATTATCTTTCTGTGTTTGCCGCTTCGGCTTCCGGGTAAGCGAGGAGATTTGCGATCGTTGCGACGTTCTCCTCCCTCGTTCATTTTCCTCGTCTTCCCTCCTCGTCGTCGTCCTCCGTCTTCATGCTCTGATTCCGTCTACACATGTTTCTCATAAATTGAGTTTGTCTTTCTTCATCGTCATCACAATCGCCATGACCACCACCACGCATCATCATCACCGTCACACCTAGCATCACCATCACCATTATGGTCATCCTCTTCCAGTTCTTTGTCATCGCCACGGGGGTGGAGGAGGCGTAGACAGGACAAGGAGGGACGGGGAGGGGGAATGGGGCATGAGGAGGGGGAGGTAACAGCAGAAGGAGGAGGAGGAGGAGGTGGAGAAGGGGTGAATTAAGAGGAGGAGGAAGAGGAGGAGGAGGAGGAGGACGAGGAAAAGGGAAGAGGAGGAGACGGAGGATGTTTAGGATAGACGAAGAGGATATGTTGGACGAGGAGGAGAGGAGGAGCAGCAGCAGCAACGGCAGGAGGAGGAGGCCCGACGCAGCCGGCCTTGCAGGCTGTGTCCTCTGGCGGGCATCGTGGCGCGCGCAGGGCGGACAAGGGCGCTGACGGCAGTGGCCGCAAGGCCGCCCAGGGTGCTCCTCCTCCTCCTCCTCCTCCTCCTCCTCCTCCTCCTCCTCCTCCTCCTCCTCCTCCGTGCCCACAGGGGTTTCCTTGAGGCCTTCGGGAGGCCTCCACTCCCGGAAGGGAGGGTCCCGGAGAGATCCTTTCCGACGCCCCCTCGAGGTGGAGGGGAGGTCTCCCCGGAAATTCCCCTCGCCGTCTCTCTCTATTCATTTCTCTCTCTCTCTCTCTCTCGTTTTCTCCCTCTCTCTCTCGCTTCCTCTTTCGCTCTCGTGCCCCATCCTGCCTTCCCGCTCCCCCCCGCCACACCTTCCTGCCCTCTCCCTCCCCTCGCGCGTTTTTCTTTGAGGGCCCCAGCGAGATTCTGGCGGGGACTGGTTCACAGGTGGTGCGCGTCCCTCCTGAAGCGGCGGGCAGGTGACGTGAAGCGGTGCCAGAGCGGACGGCACTGCAGGAGCAAGGGGGCGGACAGTTCATGCCCCCCCAGCCACTTCCCAGTCTGCCTCCTCCTCCTCCTCCTCCTCCTCCTCCTCCTCCTCCTCCTCCTCCTCCTGCATCTCCCCTGCCCTCTCCTGCACCTCCCCCTGCCCCCCGCCCTCTCCCGCTGCGCAGAGCCCCCGTCCCCTGCCCATGCCCTTCCCTCTCCACCCTCGCACGCCGTCTCGGGGCGCTCTTTGGCAGTCTTGGGGCCCTCTTGGCCGTATGGAGGGTGCCCGGGGGCCGTCTTAGGCCGTCGACAGGCCGTCTGGGGGCCGTTTTGGATGCATCTTGGGCCCTCTTGGACTACCTTGGGTCCTCTCGAGGGCCTCTTGGGCCGTCTTGGGGCCATCGTGGAGGCATCGTGGGCCGTCTTGAGCGGACGGAAGCCCGAAAAGGCGAGAATGTGAAAATCATGCAAAATCAATGGTACTCAATGATAGTGGCTTCTTCGGGCCCTGTTGGAGGTCCCCCTGTGGCCATTTGACGCCCTCTTAGAGGCATCGCGTGCCGTCCTGAGGTCATGATTGGCCACATTGGGTCCATCTTGGGCCGTCTTCGAGGCCGCTTGGGCCGTCTTGGTGTCCTTGGTTGCCTGCATTTGCCGCATTGGAAGCTCGGGGCGCGGATGGTATTTGTTTACAATGGATCGCGGCCTCAGGAGCGTGGCTCGTTGTTTTTGTGCGAGGGATCGTGGCGTCGGGATGGGTGGGCGATGCATGCAGATTATGTTGGCAGGGGGACCCCGCTTATGAAAATTCCGAACCCCTACCAGACAGCCTTTGGCATTCTTCCACAACTCAGCGCGTACAAGGCACAGTGGCGGATCTTCTACTCAGGAAAACAGAGTGCTGCCTCTTGCGGGCAAGACATTGATCTCGGGAGCGCTGTTCTACGGAAGGACTCTGACCTCCGTGATGAGTTTGTTGTGGGATTGTGTGTGGTCTCTTCTACACGGGAAGGTATTGACCTCATGAGTAGTCCGCATGGAAAGGGAAGTGGCGTTGAGCTCGAGGACATCATATCAGAGGTTAAGTAAGGGTCCGAAGCCATCGTGACTCAAGTTCAGGCTCAACTTGCTGCTTTCGCTTGGCAAGGTAGGCTGGACGCTCTGTCCGTTGACAATCGATCCTCCAGTCCTTTTCACGCTCATGTCCGACATTCCTGGCTCCAATGGGAGAATCTTCTACAACATGGACGTCGTTGATCTGGCCTGTGAGACGGTTGGCGGTGACGTGATCCACGTGCGTGGCGGCAACGCTTTCGACTTCCTCAACGAGAGCTTCGAAGAAGCACTCATCGCCGATGACATTGCGCAGCTCCAGCTTAACGCCCACGACAGCTTTCAGCATTCTACGCCGACCACAGAAGTGCCAATGTCTTGGGTGAACCGGCTCGTTTGCGTGAAGCTGGGCATTGGTGAAGTGATGGGTGTGCTCAGCGATGAAAGCCTTCGTGACTGTACCCACACACACCTCATGGCGTTCCCTGGGAGTCCCGCGATCGCCCCTCTTCCAAGGAACGACGTCCGTGGGGTCGTTCTGGTAGAGGAGGCGCTCCACGTCAGCTTCTGCCGCAGCGGGGATGGACAAATCCACGTGTGGAGGTGGCTACGCCAAGAAGGCGAGAGCATTTGGGTGCGCGAGCTTCACATGGACAGCGAGGTGCAGAAGACCGTTGGCCGGAAGACGACGTGCTGCATCTCAGCTGCCCTCAAGTTCCGCCTGTGGTATGAGCGTGGCAGGACATGGGCGTTTTTCTCTCGGTTCCCGGCTCTTGATGCGTCTGGCGTTAAGGATGAGCGCGGTGCAGCCCATTTGCCCGAGTGGCGCATGGAATGGCGCAGCCCCAGCATGCATCTTATGACGCGCAGCACCTCGCCCTAATATGTTCATTGCGTCGAAACGAGCAGCGAGCGCTTGACGGACGATGTCCTCCAGGAGAAGTTGGCAGAAGATGCCACACTGGAGGATGTGATGGACGATGACATCCAGGAGAGCTTAGCCGACAATGCTCGGGACAAGCATGCTGACGAAGACTCCAGCAGCACCTTCGCCAGCATGCTAAGTTATGTCAATGAGCTGTGGCCCAGTTGGTGAGCTGCAAACGCAATTCCGATGAGCTTTGTTTGCGCAGTTTTGATTTTCCTCCTCCAGCCCAGGCTGGCCCAAAGCCTTGTACAGCTCCGCGCTGAACATCGCGGACAAAATTCCTGGCCCTTGTGGCTCCCGCCACATTGATTTAACATTCGCGGCTGCGCCGCGCCAAATTACTGCCTATCCGAGGTACGCCCGGACCGATCATTTGTACAGATTTGTGACATCGTCGCAGGTAATGTCACCCTCACCAGCCTGTTGACAACGGAGGATCACATGGATTTGCACGAACGGGTAACACATGTCAGAGGTCAAGCAAAGGAATATTGATTGATCCTCCTCCAGCCCAGGCTGGCCCAAAGTCTTGTACAGCTCCGCGCTGAACATCGCGGACAAAATTCCTGGCCCTTGTGGCTCCCGCCACATTGATTTAACATTCGCGGCTGCGCCGCGCCAAATTATTGCCTATCCGAGGTACGCCCGGACCGACCATTTGTACAGATTTGTGACATCGTCGCAGGTAATGTCACCCTCACCAGCCTGTTGACAATGGAGGATCACATGGATTTGCACGAACGGATAAAAAAAATCAGAGGTCAAGCAAAGGAACATTGACTGAGGCAGCCCCGCGCTTCTTGTACGCTCTGAGGAATCTTGCCATTTCTGTTCCTTTTCTGTCCTGTGCATATCTGGTGAGCTTGCGCTGGGCAGGATGGCGGAAAACTATGCTGGGCACGGGATTGGGGACGCGGACGCCAAGATCTTGTTGCACTACCTATGCCCCCGCCCCTGCTTAAGGACACGGTTGCCAGGCAGTGGCAGGGATTATCGAAGCGACGGGCTGCGGGCCCCCAGGTCCAGTTGACGCCGCTGGAGGCGAAGCCGCAGGAGTCGCTGCCCCCCCTCCTCGCCCCAGATGGAGCGGTTGGAGGTGATGAGACAGCGTTCGAATGAGGGGGGGCGAGAGAGATTAGGGAGGAGGGAGAGACAGAGAGCGAGAGAGAGAGAGAGAGAAGAGCTGACATCATGAGACAGAGCATGAGAAAAGAAAGCACGAGAAGAGGAGAGAGCGAAATATATATGGAGATGCAGAGAGAGGGAGGGACGAAAGACGAATAACGAGAGGCGGGACAGACGCGAGAGACGAGAGAAAGAGAGAGAGAGAGGGAAAGAGAGGACGAGATAGAGCAGAAAAGGGAGCCGGATAGGCAAAGGTCAAACAGGAAGCGCGAACATCACATCATATCAGGTCTCTCTCGCCCTCCCGTACATCCATTCCAGAGTTGTGTTTGTTTTGCACGCGAACCGAATTCTCCGACACGATGACACTCAGAGCGCAGTCGCTGAACACCAGTGTGGAAAACGGAGCGCATGAAGTGCCCCAGGACACTGGAAGCCGTGGTGCGCCTTCTGCGCCTCCGTTCCTCGGCGCGGCGCGCCGTTCGAAGGCGACTGCCTCGTTCTCTCTTTCGCCCGCTCCGTTCCCGCACCAAGCCTGCTGCTCGCCCTGACCTGGCCCCCCTCCGAGGTACACACCACCGCCCACGAGCACCATCATCCATCATGCTTTCAGCATACCACCCTTTCCCCCGCTTCTGCAGCGAAGCTGGGCACGCCGCTGCGCCCGATCGCACACGTACAGTGCGGCCGCGCACCAAGAAACCGGATATGTTTCGTCAGGGCACCTCGGGATTCTTCGCTCCGCGCGCTACGCGACGACCTCCCACGTCCGTTCGAGAACCTGCTGCGTCCAGGGCGCTCTGGGCTTCCCCTCGCACCGCGCGCGCGGGCCTTCCGCATTGGCTTCTGGCGTGTCCTGCGGACGTGTCCGCACTGCTTTCGGCCCATCCTTTCCCGCGAGCGAGCAACCGACGGCGCCATCAACATGGACGCCAGCCTGGACTCCAGCCACGCCCCATCCATGTTCGGGATGTTGGAGTTGGCGTAAGGGGTAGGCCGGACCCCTGAGTCCCAGCTGCATCCTTCTTGTTTCACTTTCTGGTTCCGGATTGGGGTAGTTTGATCGCCACTTCCCGCCGCGCAGGTTGGGACGCTCGAGGGAAAAGGATGTTGGAGTTGGCGCCCTGTGGAGAGCGAGCGCGCCGACCTCTCGGCCGGGTCTCGGGGGGGCCCGAGGGGGAAGCCTCCCCCGGCGTTCCCCGCCCTGGCGCCTTGTGAACGCCCTCGGCGTCGAGAGAGCATCCTCGCATGCCCGTGCAGTTGCAGCCCGGCTCGGCAACGCTGCTGCCAACACCTCCTCCTCCAACTCCTCGACCACCTCCTCCTCCTCCTCCTCCTCCTCCTCCTCCTCCTCCTCCTCCTCCTGCTCCTCCTCCTCCTCCTCCTCCTCCTCCTCCTCCTCCCTCCTCCTCCTCCCTCCTCCCTCCTCCTCTCCCCTCCTCCTCCTCCTCCTCCTCCTCCTCCTCCTCCTCCTCGTCATCATCCTCATCATCATCACTATCATCACTATCATCACTATCATCATCAGCAGCAGCATCATCGTCATCATCGTCATCTGCATCCTCATCATCAACAGCAGCATCATCATCGGTATCAGCATCAGCATTATAATCAGCATCATAAGTTTCGGTTTACATTTCATGTTCATCTACATCTACATCATCATCAGCATCAGCATCAGCATCAGAAGCATCATCATCAGCACCATCACCATCACCATCATCATCATCATCCCTCCTTCCTCCGTTCTCCGTCTATCCCTCCCTCCTTCCCTCTCCTCCTCCTCCCTCCGTCCCCCCCTCGTGTCCTCTCTTCTTTTTCCTCCTCCACCTCCCGACGACGAGGAGGCGAAGGAAGAGGGCGGAGAAGGAGGAGGAGGAGCAGAAGGAGGAGGAGGGGGAGGAGGAGGAGGAGGAGGAGGAGGAGAAGGAGGAGGAGGAGGAGAAGGAAGGAAGAAGAAGGTGGAGGAGAAGGAGAAGGAGGAGGTGGTCGAGGGGGCTGCCTGATAAGCATTCGACCAGGATGTGACGTCACACTTATATGAGAGTACCAGACATCGTCTGGGAAGGGCCGCGGCTGTGCTCTGTTCACGTCTACGCTGGACGCTAAGTAGCTGAGGACAGAGTTCAAGCCAGGAGGATGCATGTATCTCACTGACGTGTTGCGGCTGCTGCTGCTCTGCCGTTGCCGCTGCATTGGCGTTAAGACCTTTTCTCATCTTGCTCTCATCCTGTCCCGATGGCGTCGAACCTCTGCCCTAAACCCGAGAAAGACAGAAAGAACGAAAGACGAAGGTCGAGGAGGAGCAGGAGGAGGACGAAGAGGAGGAAGGAGGGAGGAGGAGGAGCAGGAGGAGCAGGAGGAGGACGAAGAGGAGGAAGGAGGGAGGAGGAGGAGGAGGACGAGGAGGGACTGCTCATGCTGTGAAAGGCCCCATCGGGGCCATGACCGCCCCACCGCGAGCGCCGCCACCCCGAAGGGCCTGTGGGCCAACGCAGTCGCGGTCGGCGGGCCGGCGCCCCCTCTGGGGGCTGACGCTTGCCCGCGCCACCGTGCCTCCCGACCCCTGGCCGCCCATCCCCGGCTGGCGCCCCGGGGTGGATGCCGCGCGGGCCGGGCGGGCGCGGTCGGCGTGGCGTCTCCCCGCCCGGCCGGCCCCCTCGAGCGGCACGGCCCCGAGAGCGGGAGAAGCCGCCAGAGCGGTCGGGCGGGCTGTCCGTTCAGATTTTATTTCTGTTAACGAAATGTATTTCGATCGAGTTCAATTCACCAGTTTTACGATGAGATTTTGATTCTCAAATAACACAACAGCAGCAGTCATGTTAACGTAGATTTCAAAGTGTGTTGACAATTGTTAAATGTATTACGTCTACTAGAAAAGTATTAATTTGGAAATGTTTATGCGCGCGTTTTTGTATCAGCATATATAGAAAAGAAATAGTTTGTAATTTTTGGTTCTTATTTATTAGAAAATTTCTTGAATTTTGGATTTTATTTTTGGGGTGTTTTCTTTATTTTGAAGTTCCATTTGTTATTCCAGGAAAGTTGTGCGCAGTTATACCATAGCGGATGCAAATTTCGAATTTTCAGATGCCTTGCAGAAGCCGATAAAACAAACATAAAGATAAACAACAGTGTGTTTTTTCGAGATTTTGTATGTTTTCGTCGCCCGCCTTTCATCGTGTACATGGCGTTTGGGTGATTTGTTTTTGAACAAAAAACTGATTTGTTTGCGTTGTTGTTTTACGATCGCTGGCATCACCTGATGCAAAGTCATTCTGCGGTGGGGCGGGCTCGGCCTGCGCGGGGGCCCGCTGGCAGCCCGAGGGCTCCAGCGCGGCCCCTTGGAGGGAGAGGGAGGGAGGCGAGGGCGAAGAGAGGGAAGGGAGCAGAGGAGGGAATGGGGGGATAATGGGAGAGGCCCCTCGCCCTTCCCAGGCTGCCCGCGTCCGAGAGGCCAGCTCGAGGGAGGATGGATGGATCGTCAGGACGAGGAAGGAGGGAGGAAAGGAAGGAGGAAGGAGGGAGCAGGAATGAGGATGGAGGCAGAGGAGGAGGAAGAGGGGGAAGGAGGGAGGAGGGAGGAGGGAGGAGAGAGGAGGGAGGAGGAGGAAAGAACGGGGATGGATGGATGGATGGATGGATGGATGGATGGATGGATGGATGGATGGATGGATGGATGGATGGATGGATGAATTTGGATGGATTCCTCCCAGCGAGGCGGCATTGTGGGGGCGCGGGCACGGGCGCGGGCACGACCCCTTTAGCAGAGGGCAGCAGGGCCGAAGGACGGCGACTGCCGCGACCCCGCAGCGTCCGTTCAGGGAAAGGGGAAGCACCGCGTACGGGGATAGGGCAAAGGGAGGGGGAGGACAGGGGACGGACCGAAGAACGCCCGACCGATCCTGGCCCCGCGCTTCGCTTCTCCTGGGCCCACGGAGGAGGAGCCGCTCCTTGGCCCTGGAAGCAAGCGCGATGGAGAGGAGGGGAAAGCCTGGGGAGGGGGGCCTCGGCGACTCCCTCCCACAGGGACCCCCGCCCGTACTCCCAGCCGCCTCGTCGCGTCAGCGCGGGACGCAGCTGCGAGGCTGAGAGAACGGAGGGAGAGGGGGCCACCCCAGGAGGAGCAGAGATCAGTGCTGCTCGGCTCCCGGTGGCTCGGTCCAGAGCGCACCCCCGGAGCCCGTCGAGGGCTGCAATCATGGATTGAAGGGCGCTGAGCTATGCAAGCACGGGTGGAGCCGGATGGCTCCGGAAAGCTGCGGTCCATCCCCGCCCAGGCCCAACCTAGCCCAGCGAGGACCAGGAGAGAGAGAGGAAGGGAGGAAAGGGGGGGGGGGAGAGGAGGAACCAGCCAGCAGGCTGTCCCGCGAACGAGGCCGAAACTCGGGGGACAAGGAAGCCTTCAACACGAGCCAGAGAGCGCGGCCCCCGACGGGGCCCCCGAGGAGACGGAAGGCAGATCCAGCGGCGGAGTTCCAGGGCGAGATCGGGCGGACCGCTTCCGCAGCTCGACCGAAAGGGAAACGCCAACGCTCGGGTTGACCTGAAAGGGGGTCCAGCGACAAGGGGGTGGTGCAATGGATTTGGAGCAATAAATTTGTGGGGGTTGGGCGCGCCATGCGTCCCAGGGCGCAAATGTGTTGCTGGATTTTTGCGCGCAATACATTACTTGCAATACAATGCAATACAATTGTCCGGCGCAGTACGTGTGCAATACAATGGCCCGAAATCTATTGCACCACCCCCTTTTCAGCTGGACCTCCTTTTGAGTTTTGAGGAAACGCGCTCAGATGGGCACTTCCACCAGCAGTCAGCGGACGAGGCCTAAAGACAGGCCGATCCCGCGGCGGAGCTCCAGGGAGCATTCGGGCGGACCAACAGCACGAAGAGAAGGAAGGAAGCAGAGGAGGAAATGGGGGGCAACAGGAGAGGCCCCTCGCCCTTTCCAGGCTGCCCGCGTCCGAGAGGCCATCTCGAGGGAGGATGGATGGATGGTCAGGAGGAGGAAGGGAAGGAGGAAGGAGGGAGCAGGAAGGAGGAAGGAGGCAAAGGAGGAGGAAGAGGGGGAAGGAGGAAGGAGGGAGGAGGGAGGAGAGACGAGGGAGGAGGAGGAAAGAAGGAGGAGGGAGGAGGGGAAGGAGAAGGGGGGAGGGAGGAGGAATGAGGGCGGAGGAGGAATGAGGGAGGAGGAGGAGGAGGGTAGAGGAGGAGAGGAGGAGGAAACAGAGGAAGAGGGCCGCCGGCAAAGCCTGGCGCCAGGACGCCAAGCGCCGGGTCAAGAAGCTCGCCGCCGAGCTCGGGTGCGGCGACGCCGAGAACGCGGCGCGCATCGCCGGGGCCCTTGCGCGCCACGATCCCCTACCTGTGCTCCTGTCGGGCACTGCCAGGGGGGGGAACTAGTCTATCTGGACGCCCTAAATGGGTACAGTGGGGGCGCGTGCCAAGAAACCAGTTGGATTTTGCCAGGGTGCCCTGGGTTTCTTGGATTTTGATGGGCTCCCAATCAGATCTTGACGATTTTCGATCGACACATGTGGATTTTCACTGAACAAATCGCGTATTTCAGGGCTGGGTTTCTTGCGGAGGTTTCTTGTGGCCGAGCCCCCACTATACGGAAAGAATGGGTACGATGCCCAACAGCAGTTCCTGTTCATCTTGAACAGGACTCGCTGTCCGCGCCGCCGCGGCCTGTGTCCATGTGAGGCAGAAGGCCGCCTGCCCAACAGCGGCCGCTGTTGGTTCGGAACAACAGTTGTTGTTGGGCATTGCACCCATTCTTTCCGTACCCATTTCGGGCGTCCAAAATCTAGGCCTCCCAGGTGGGGTCCGGTGCAGATGGGGTCGAAGGGTTGCGCCGCATCGCCGATGCATCGGCGATGCGGCTCGATGTGGAGCCCGATTTCCTCCACGCCGACGTCGCCGATGCACCAGCGATGCGGCGCGATCCTCCGATCCCAGCCGCTCGGACACAATGCTGGAGGCCTCTCAGTATGAGGGTCACCAGTTCCTCTCCCGAGGGTCGAGGTCCCGGGATCGGAGGTCGAAGGTCGCGCTTGCTCGGGGGGTCACTCTTGCGTGCAGCCGATGGCCGCGCCCCGCTCGGGCGGTGCCAGGGGGAGGGGGGCATGGGGAGGGTCACCAGTTCTTCCCGAAGGCTGAGGCTCCAGGATCGGAGCTCGAGAAGACTTTGGGACATTTGGACCGTTCTGGTTCAGGAGAAGAAAAAGGACACAGACACAATTAATCGTCGAATCCCAGGAAAATACGGGAAAACATGGGAAGTGGGGGGGAAGACAAAAACCCAGAAAATATGGGGAAAATATGGGGAATATCTTTATTTGTGTGTATTCATTTGTGTGCCCTGGGGCCCCTTCACTGGTGGGCTCTGGAGCGTTCCGCTCGGCCGCGCGTGAGCACGGCCCCTCGCCGGAGTGGCCTCCACGGCGGGCGCACGGAGGAGCCCCCAGGCACTGGCCTGCGCGCGTAGATGTTGGCTCCCTGCCAGGGGGCCGCACGCGAGCCCGACCCCTGCCCCCCACGATTTCTGAGGGGGAGGGTGGGGTTCACTTCGCTCGGGAGCCCACCCCTACCCCCCACGATTTCTGGGGGGGAGGGTGGGGTTCACTTCGCTCGGGAGCCTACCCCTACCTCCCACGATTTCTAAGGGGGAGGGTGGGGTTCAGTCCGCTCGGGAGCCTACCCCACCCTCCCCCTCAGAAATCGTGGGGGGCAGGGGCAGGGTTCGCATGCGGCCCCCTACCTGCAGGGCCCCCCTGAAGCCGCGCACCGGAGGCCACCCTGGCCTGGGGCCACTCTTTCGTGCAGCCGAGACTCGCGCCCCTCTCGGGCAGTCGCCAGCCCCTCCTGAGGGTCGAGGCTCCAGGGTCGGAGCTCGAGGGGACTTGGGCTGTCTGGGGGTCGTTTTTGGATGGCTGTGGAGTTTCAAAAAGTCCAAACCAAAGAAAAAGCGCATCTCCTCAGGAGGATGGCGGAGTTCCTCGAAGGGGCGGCGCCCCCCCTGGTGGTGGTGGCCTCCCTCGGCGCTGCCGGACCCTCCCAGGCCGAAGCTCCTGCGCTCGGGTCTTCGACCAGGGGCCCCGAGGCCCGGCATCGCTCCGGCGTGTGCATGCTTTCTCGGCGGGGAGCATCGAGAAGCATCGTGGATCATCCTACGAGAGAGAGAGAGAGGAAGGGAACGCGCGAGACCGACAAATGCACGGGGAATGGACGTCCGAGCGATGGCGACCTCGCTGAGCGCGCCCGCCCGGCTCGCGCGCCGAAGGACGCCGGGCCGCCCCGAAGCCTGGCGAAGGCCACCGAAGACCGCCGAGGACCGCCAGAAGACCTCCCGAGTGCCTTTCCTGGGCTGCGCCCGCGGTTGCCCCCCAGGTGCCTCTCCTGGGCGCCCGCTGGGGCCTGACAAGATGATGGGTGCCTCCGTGCGCGCGCGCACTGTTCTGCGGGGCTGGGCCCCCAACGGCCGGGCGACCCAGCCTTCGGGACACGTCGGCAGCACGGCCCGCCCCCGCAGAAACCCCTCGGCCCAGGGCTGGCCGCGCGCACCCGGGGCCGACGGGGCAGCGGGGGGACCCACAGGTGGACGTCCGAGCGACGGCGACCTCGCTGCGCGCGCCACTCCACGGCTCTCGCGCCGGAGGCCGCCAGGCAGCCCCGAAGATCAGAAGACCGCCGAAGAGACCACCGAGGGCCGACGGGCAGCAGGGGGGGGCCCGTGGTCGAGGCCGCGGCCGGGCCGAGCCGGGAGGGAGGGCGGAGCGGTCCCCGGCCTCGCGTCCCTCCCGTCGGGGCCCTCCCCTCTCTCCTCCCCCGGGGCCCCCTCGCCTCTCGCCCCCCGCCCCCCCCACACGCCTCCGCCTCCCCGCTCCCCTCGCCCCCCCCCCCGCCTTCCCCCCCCCCCCCCCCGGCTTCCCCGATTCCCTCCCTTCGGGCCTTCGGGGCCCTCCCCGCTCTCTCCTCCCCCCCCCTCCCTCCCCGCCCACCAGCGCCAGGCAGGGCGGGCCGTAGGCACTGCCACAACTGCTGTTGAGCTCCATGAGCTCCATGACGGTGCCCACCCCTCAGAGGGGGAGCGGGAGTCAGACGGCGCTGCGGGGCACGGCGCTTCCTCTTGCCCGAGCCGAGCCGGTCCACATCTACCCCTGCCGCGGCCCCGCCCCGCCGCGACAACGGTGTCCCCGGGGGATGCTCTCGGCGCCCTGGCCCGGCGATTTGACACCCTCGGGCCATGTTTGATGGGCGCGCGTGGCCGAGGCGCCCGAGGGGAGGGAAGCAGGGGAGGAAGGGGGGGCGGGGGGGGGAAGCGCGATCAGGAGCGGGGGGGGTCGGAGGGAGGAGGTTTTGGGGGGAAGAGGCGGGCTGGTGGAGGGGGCCGCTCGGCCGCGCTGGCGATGCTCTGGGACCCCTGACCCGCGAGGCCTGGGCGGGGGCGGAAGCGCCGGCGAGACCGTGCGGCCACCAGGTCGGCAAAGGGTAGAAGGGGAAGGGAGGGGAGGGGGAGGGTGTCCGGGAGGGGTCGGGCTGGCCAGGTCGAGCGCTGCCAGCGGGCCCCGCCCACTCCCACGCTGCCTCCCAGAGCGCGGGAGCCCAAGGGTGGCACAACCTCGGCCGGCACGTGCGGCGCACACAGGGGGGCAGCCCCAAGAGCAACGGCGGCGCACGAATTTGCTTGGGGGCTCGAAGGCGTTCCACCTGGCGAAAGAAGGCACCCGCGCGCGGTCCCGACGCTGACGCCGTGGCGAAAGCAGGCACTCGCGCACGGGCGGGAGCGGAACGTCAGGAAACAGTTGCGCGGCGATGCGGCGAGCGCATCTTTCGGCCTTCTGTCGGGCGGCCAAGACAGGCGCGGCGAAGGCGACTCGTGCGCCGCGCTGGGATGGCACTGCCAATTTTGCGCACAAGCTGCGCGGCGCCTTGGGCGAGAATGGCATTTGGCCCGCTCTCGCGCCGCCCCGCTGCCACTGCCGCTTTCATGCAGTTCGGCGACCGCAACACGCACCGCCCCCAACAAACTGGCGAGTGAAAAGTATGCGCTGCGCCGAGGCGGCATTGTCACTGTCAGGCGAAACTTGCGCGGCGCCGATGCGAGAACGACATGTTCGTCCTCTCGCACGTCGACGAGTTGGCGAGCGACGAACAGCTCTTGGACTGAGAAGGCTTTGATTTGCACTGTAGTGATCTGCGTCGGGCCGGCGCGATTTTCCATGACTCGGCCTTGTTCCCAGCCGTCTTTGGCCCTAGCGTGTCTCTGTGCCGTCGCCACTTTCCACCGTTCGGCCCCGTCCCGCCCCCACTGCCCCTGGCCCCGGTGATCGTGCCCTGCCCGTGGCCGATGTGCATAGCAGCGCCCTGTCTCCGATTACACGTTGTTCATGTCTCATTCTTCGGAAGTTCTTTGAATTTTTTTGTGGGGGGCAAGATCCTCTCACTCCTAGTTCTTCTACCCTGGGCCTCTCCCTGGCCACCAAGGGGGCCAGGAACAGTTAGAAACGAGCACGATTAGCAACGAGCACGATTAGAAAGGAACGGCGTGTGTCCCCTCCTCCTCCTCCTCCTCCTCCTCCTCCTCCTCCTCCTCCTCCTCCTCCTCCTTCTCCCCCTCCTCCTCCTCCTCCTCCTACTCCTCGTCCCTGGCTCCGTGGCTCTGCCCTGCCCCTCGCCGATCGGCAGGGCTCGGCCTGCCCCCGACGGGCACCGCCCGCGGCAGGCTCCCGTCGTGCCGGCGCGGCGGCGACGCGGTGGCGCGCGCTCGAGATCTGACGCCGCCAGTGGCTCAGAAGCGGCAGGTCCTCCTCCTCCTCCTCCTCCTCCTCCTCCTCCTCCTCCTCCTCCTCCTCCTCCTCCTCGTGCTTCTACTGCTGCTCTGACACTCTCCAGGCCGACCAAGTGGAGTCGAGGTCGATGGAGTCGGCGGACCGCGCCTCATCGCCGATGCATCGGCGATGCGGTTCGATGTGGCGCGCGCTCGAGATTTGACGCTGCTAGTGGCCCAGAAGCGGCAGTCTCGGGGGCGGAAAAGAGGGGGGTGATGACCAGGGGGGGGGGATATCATGGCGGGGGCCATGATATCTCCCCAGATCTCAAGGCGCCTCTTCTTATCTCATTACGTCCCTGGCCCCCCCGCTGGGCCGCGCACATGCCGCAGGTCATGATTTGCACCCCACCCTCTTTGACACCCCCTCTTGGCCGCTCCCGAGTGGCTCAAAAGCGGCAGTCGTGGGACGCTCTGGCCACGGGCAAGCCGCCGATCGCTCGAGGTCGAGCGCTCCGCGCGGTGTCGGGGGCCAACACCAGGGTCGTCGCACGGCACGAACCTGTCGTAGAGTCCACCCGCATAGCAAGCATGGGCAATCTTCCCAAGGGTACCCTTGCATCCTTGGCCAGCCTCGTTCGAAAAACGTCACCATCGCCTTTCAAGGCCCTTGCATCCTTACCGCGCATCCTTACTATACGGGTTGACTGTATCTCGTCACACGCAATGTCCATCATGGCCGTCTCCTGTCTCACTGTTTGGGGTCCGAGCGCTGCCCTCGTGTCACTGTGGAGCATACCGCAGAGAGCGTCAGCGCAAGACGTGGTATGCTGCCACATCCCCACCGTTTCGAGGCCGGAGCTTACCCTGCGGGGGCTCACGAGACTCATACGGGCAGCCTACACACAGAGCCCGTTGCCGCAGCCCAGAACAGGACAGGTTATCGAGAGGACTGCTCGCAAGTGCGCGCGCGGACCTTCCAACGGCCCAGTGGGACTGGGCGCCTGCCACCACAGCCGAGCAAGCCGAAAGCCACTCCGCTCGAAGCCGGACCCCAGCGGCTGCGGATCACGATGTGCGAGCTGCGAGCGCGTCCCGCGGCCAGGCCGCCTCGCCAGACTGGCCAGAGCCAAAACGGCCATGCCAACCAGAGCGTTCCCCTCCCCTCCTCCACCGGGGTGCTCCCCCTCCACTGGGGAGCTCCTCCTCCCCCGTTGGCGTTTCCCTTCCCACCCCCCCTTGGCGTTCCCCTTCCCCCTTGGTGTGTCCCCCATTGGCCGCTCCCCTCCTCCATCAGGGTGCTCCTCATCCCTCGGCCGGCCCCTGCCCCCCCTTGGCGCTCCACTTCCCCGTTGGTGTGTCCCCCATTGGCCGCTCCCCTCCTCCATCAGGGTGCTCCTCATCCCTCGGCCGGCCCCTGCCCCCCCCACCCCTTGTTGTCCCCGCCCGGTCCATGCCGTCCGGTCCGCTCGGCCCGGCGGGGGCGAACTCAGGCCGCGGACCTCATGTTGGTGGAGCGGTTGAAGGGCGCCCGCCAGGGGAGGAAAGGACAGATTCTTTCCGCACCCTTCTCCCTCGTCGTCGTCCTCCTCCTCCTCCTCCTGCTCCTGCTCCTCCTCCTCCTCCTCCTCCTCCTCCTCCTCCTCCTCCTCCCTCCTCTTTATCTCATCATCATCCTCCTCCTCCTCCTCCTCCTCCTCCTCGTCGTCGTCATCATCATCATCATCATAATCATAATCATCATCATCATCATCATCATCATCATCATCATCATCATCATCATCATCATCATCATCATCATCATCATCAACCTCATCATCGCCAGCACCATCACCATCACCACCACAACCACCACCATCACCATCATCATTATCATCATCAGCATCATCATCAGCAGCAGCATCCTCGTCATCATTCTCATCACCACCACCATCATCGTCATCATGATCGTCATCATCACCAGCATCATCATCACCATCATCATCACCATCATCATCGCAAGTGTCGTCATCATCATCAGCATCACCAATATCATCATCAGCGATCAGCATCAGCACTATCATCGGCAGCATCATCATCATGAGTATTATCATGTGCATTAGTATTACCGTCTTCAGCAGCAGCATCGTCATCGTCGTCATCGTCATCATCACCACCATCATCATCTTCATCATACATCCATCGATCCATTCATCCATCTCCTCCTCCTCGTTCTCGTGATCCTCCTCCTTCCTCCTCCTCCTCCTCCTCCGAGCGAGCTTCTCCGAAGTACATTGCTGGGTGTGCGTACTTGTTGGCCGCTGGTGTCGCGGCTCAAGTCTAATTCAGAAGGCGGCGCATGGGGGTCATCTCTTTCCTTCGTGCCCAAGCCCTGCCGTTCGCCCTCAGTCAGTTGCCTCATGCAGTCCAGGTGCTGATATCAGGGCACGAGGACGCGGGCGGGTGCCTCCTCCTCTCGGAGCTCACGGGCAGCTTGCGGGGCTTCCTCGTCGGGCTGTGCGCCCTCTGCTTCCTGATCGGAGCTGCTGCGGGGTGCTGCTGCTGTGCCGTGGGCTATGGAGGCTGGTCAACGTGTCGGCGTCCTGTGGCAGGCAGGGCGGGACTGGCAAGTGAGAATCATCATCTGCGAGTGCCCGCCCGGGGAGTACACCGACGTCGTCGGCGACCCAGTACCTCCAGCTCTAGTGACGAAATGCTTCTATTGTCTCACCCCAGACGGGGACATCTATCCGCACCTCCTAGCGGTCGGGCCTCTGGCTGGGGTGGTGGTGCTCGACAAGATGGGCCAGCCCATCGACTCCACGTCCGAAGGCCAGAAGTTGCGGAGGAGACACTCGGTGTACGGCGCCGACTGGGAGCCGACGCCGCTCGACTACGTAGCGGCCTTGCAGTTCTGCCGCCCCGAGGTTCTCTCCAACGGTCACCCGAGCCGGCGGCTCCGTGGGAAGCAGCCGCTACCAGCATCGGGAACGCCGTCAGGGGATGGAGCAGTGAAGGTTCCGACTAACATGGAGGTCTCAGATGGGGCCCTGCCGACGCCGCCCGATGGGCACTGCTGGGAGATCCTCGCCACGACGGGCTCGGACACGGCCCGCACGGAGTTCCTCGGCGGCGCGACCGACGGATACGCAGTCGCAGGTGGCTTCGGGCTCGTGGTGATGGGCTCGGAGGCGCATGTTGTGAGAGTGGTGAAGCGTGACGAGCTCGGCGGCGACGGGGACTTAGACGCCCGTGTGCTCAGCATCAAGGTGAATTCCGAGGGGGAGCGGCGCCGCCTGTTCAAGGATGCCGTCAACAGCGAGACGAGCTGGCCCTTCTGGCCAGTGCTCGGTCCGCGCACCACTCGCTGGTGCCTGCGGTTCCTGGCGGACCAAGACGCTCACCCGCGGGCACGGCACACGAAGTGGAGGCACGAGACCGGGCTCTCATCCAGCGACCCGGGCGTTGCCGAGCACGAGCTGTGTATGCGCGTGTTCGACGTAGCCATGTCTTTCGACCAGCTGAACGTCAGCGAGCTGGCCTCCTTCGAGTACATCGCGAGGCGGGCGCAGCTCATCGAGCACCGCTACCGCGAGAGGGCCATGGGCCGGTCCGACGGCATCGACGGTGCCGAAGACGACTACCTCATGATGGGGACCTCGGAGACGCGCGGCCACCTGATGATCGCGCCGGAGCTCCAGGACTACATCACGGCCGAGCTCCACCGCGAGGCAGGCGCGCCCAAGGAGCGGCGCAAGCTTCGCGAGGAGCGGGCCATCTCTTCTCGCGGCGGCGGCGGAGGCGGCGCAGGCAGGGGCGGCGACGACAAGGGCTCGTTGCAGCAGAAGATCCAGCAGCAGGCGGCGGAGCTCAAGCGGCTCCAGGCGGGCCGCGGCAGCGGCGGCGGAGGCGGCGGCGGCCAGCAGGAGGGCGATGCCGGAGGCGGCCGCGGTGGCGGCCGCGGGGGCAAGTAGCCCACAGGCGCCACCCGCCGGCCGGGCTGCCCCTGGGCGGGCCCTGCCGGCTCCTCGGCTGGGATGGTGGTCGCTCGCGAGCTGCTGCCTATCAACCTGGCCGCCCTCTCGGCCCCGCGCGAGCCGCCTGGCGCTGGCCGCTGCAGCCGCAGCGTCCGCAGCCGGCTCCTCCGCCGGACCCTCGTCGACGAGCGCGTGCGTGAGTCGGTGACCGCCCTCAACCTTTTGTACAACCACGGCGAGGCCCAGGTCTCGCACCAACTTTCTCTCGCTCAGGTCCGTGGTGTCGAGCATCTCCGACGTGGTTGGGAGCGACTCGGCGCCCCGGAGGTGAGCCCCGCGGCAGCCTGCAGTGAGCTGTGCGGGAGCAGGCCCGGGTACGGTGACCCGGTGAAGACGGCTCCTTACCAGCGAGACCTCGTCTCGCTGCCGACCGGCGGGGTCCTGGCCGAGGGGGGCCGGTGCCTCGGCGGCGCGGCCTTAAGTTTCTGGAAGGAGTGGCGACAGCATCTTTTGCGGCCCGGTGTCAGCCGGGAAGTAGTGCAGAAATTCAAACCCCACGTCGACAGTCGACTACGCGCGAAGGGTACCTATGCCCAGTTCGTGTTAGACCTCCAGGCCGCCGGTTTGGTGAACCTGAGAGGCCGCCTCGACGCGACCTTGGGAGTGTTCTTCGCGTTGAAGAGTGATGGCGTCAGGCAGAGACTGATACTCGACACTCGAGGTAGCAACGAGTTTTTCAATTCGCCCGAGTATTCTCAGTTGCCCACGGCTAGTGCATGGAACTCTTTGTATGTGCCAGATCAATGTGAGCTCTCTTTGTGCCAGGCAGACGTTGATAATGCATTCTATCGGATCGGCCTGCCCGCAGGGATCGAAGATTATTTTGTCCTCCCCCCTGTCTCCTGTCGTCACCTCGAGGCACTTTGTCCAGGCAGCTCCGGGGAGCTTCGCGGGGTTGGGGAACTCTCGCCCGTCCTCCGCGCGTTACCCATGGGGTGGTCTTGGTCTTTATACTTCTGTCAGTGTATGGTAGAGCAGGCTGTTCTTGACTCCGGCCCCCCCCCCTCCAGACTTGTCCAGGATAGACGGGCAGCCGCCGGCCTCGAGGAAGGGCCTTTCGCTGCCGCGTATGTCGACGGGGTCGCTTTCCTCGGGACCAGCGAAAAGTGCTGCTCGGACGGATGCGCGTCCGCCGTCGAGCTCCTGGGATCTCGTGGTCTGGTTTGTAAAGGGATGGTCGGGGCGTCTGAACAGCAGTCTTTCACAGGCCTCACGTTCGAACGCAGCTCTGGAATCATTTCGCTTTCGACCCGGCGCTTGTGGAAAATTCGCTTGGGGCTCTTGGAGCTCTGCCGTCAGGGCTGGCGCACCGGGGTCCAGATGCGCCGGGTCTTGGGCCATTTAACCTGGGCCTTCTTATTGAAACGTGAGCTTTTGTGTATCCTCAGCAGCGCTTTCCGTTTTTGTGAAATGGCCGGGGAGCAGCGGTGGCGTCTCTGGAGTTGTGTGACTCGGGAGCTGCGGATCGCGGCAGCACTTCTGCCGTTCGCCGCTGTCGACACCAAGAGGCCGTTCGACCCGTGGGTGATGGCCTCCGACGCTTCCGGGGCCACCGAGTTCGACTTCGGGGGTTTCGGCGTCTGCGAGCGGGCTTGGGGCTCGGAGGCAGTTCGAGCCGTGGCCAGCCGTGCGGAGAAGTGGAGGTACTGCGTCGAGGATGCCATCTGCGCCCGGGAGCAGAGTCTCGGGCTGGCCCCTCAGGGCCCCTCCAAGCCTCGAGTTTCCCAAGTGAGAGCCCGCCGTGGGGTCACCGACTTCTTCCACATCGATGGGGAGCAGATCGGGGATTTCGACACCTGGTCCACCGTTTTGTTCGGCCGGTTCGCCTCGTCGGAGAATATCATGCGGGCGGAGGGGCGGGCCCTGGCGATGGGGGCCCGACACAAGCTACGAAACGTCAGCAGCTTCGGTCGCCGTCATCTGCTTCTGTGCGACAATATGTCTGTGGTCTTAGCTACGGGCAAGGGGCGTTCGACATCCCCACTGCTGAATCGAACATGTCAGGAGTTATTGTGTCTTTCTATTCTCTCAAATACTTCATTTGTGGTCCGATGGATTGCATCAGAGTTGAACCCTGCAGACGACCCCTCTCGCAGCCTCTCGGCCCGCGCAAGCGCCTGGAGGCGCGACCCACGCGGGCCAGCGTTCCGCGATGCTCCGGCGGCCTGGGCCAGGCCTGGAGGCACGGCCGGCGCGAGCCCTTCGGCCGGCACTGCTTTCGATCGTGAGCTCGAGCGGACCATCGTGCAGCGAGCCCGCGGACAGCTTGCAGCTCCGCTCGGGCTTTGTGGGCTCGGCGACGGCCTCGATCCCGAGGCCCGCCCCGCTGGCCTGGCGCGGTGCGACGTCGAGCCCGTCAGCGACTGCGGTGACCGCGGTGGTGGCCGTGCCAGCTCGTCCACCTCTTCCAGTCGTTCGGGCAGTCCGGGCTCAGGGAGCCGCCGCAGTTGCTGCAGTTCGCGGCGGACGGACCGCGCGGGCCAAGAGGACGGCGCGAGCCGCCGCTCTGCAGGCTCGTCGCGCGGGCCATCGGCGCCGCCTTCTGCCCGCAGCCTCCAGGGCGGCAGCAGAGGGTCTGACGTTCTTGCAGACCTCTCGAGCGGGGCACGGGACACAGCTGCAGCACCAGCGAGCCTACACCGACTTCCTGGACTGGAGCCGGGGGGAGAAGCTGAGGCTCAGCACCGTGGTCGACTTAGACAGGGCCCTCGCCAGCTATCTGGATCACCTGTTCTTCGACGGTTGGAATCGGGACCAGGGCGAGAAGACCTTGGCGGCTGTCCTTTTCTTTCACCCGAGTCAGGGCTTGAAGCGGCCGGGGGCCCTGGAGGGCAGCCGAGCCGCACTCAAGGGTTTCAAGAAGATGGCTCCTGGCAAGACCCGCAGACCGCTTCCCAAGCAGGGGGTCTTCGCGATCATCGGGGCCGGCGTGTTCTGCGGCTTGCTCGACTTCTGCCTCGGCCTCCTCGTCGCTTGGGACGCGTACCTCAGGTTGCCCAGCGACCTGATTGGCATGGTGGGTGGGTCCCTGGTGGCGCCAGCTCGGCGGAGCCGGATCAACAGGTGGGCCATCCTGCTGTTCCCCGAGGAGCTGCCCGATCGGAGCAAGACGGGCCACTTCGACGAGGGGATGGTGCTAGAGTCGGACGCCGCGCAGAGCGTGAGCTTCGCCCTGAAGGCCCTGAAGTCGCGGAGCCAGGCGGACAAGCCTCTGTGGCCGTTCTCCGGCCCAAGGTTCCGCCAGGACTTCGCCGCGTGCGCCAGCCTGGCGGGGCTCGAGGACGTGCACCCGTACCAGGTCCGCCACGGGGCCGCCTCCCACGACGCGTTGTTCAAAGTGAGGGAGTTCGGAGCCGTCCAGGAGCGGCTCAGGCACCTGAGCGAGTCCAGCACACGGCGGTACCGCAAGGGGACCCGCTACCTGGCCGAGTGCGAGAAGCTGTCCCCCGAGATCAAGGCGTTCGGCGAGTGGGTCGAGGCCAACCTCGCCGGCCTCTTCTCCGGGCGGCTGCGCTGCCAAGCGCCACCAGGGCGCAGGGGCTGAGCGCCGCCGCCCGTGGGGCTGGACTCTGGAAGGCTGGTGACACTCTCGACTCCGCGACCCGCCTGAGCCGAGACGCCATCCATCGAGCATGGTCTCAGGCCTTTTCGGCCGCCTCCGCCGCTGCTCCCCACAAAGGCCAAGTTTTCCTTGACTTGTTCTCTGGGGCTGGAGGTATCGCTCGCGGTCTTCGTAAGTGTGGCGGTTGGGGAGTCATTGAGGTCGACGCTAAGTTTAACCCCGCTTTTAATCTCAACAACCCCGTGGTCGTGGATCTGATCGTGGGGTGGATCAGCAGCAAGCTGGTCCGGGGGATTTGGTTGGCCTTTCCCTGCTCCACGTGGAGCGTCGCATCCCGCGGGCGGTACCGAACCCACTCCCAACTTTTCGGGCGTGCCGACCTGGACCCTGTGGGCCTCGAGCGGGCCTTGGCGGGCAACCGCTCCCTCCTCGCCACGTGCCGGATCGTTGGCTCGCGCATTCGTGCCCGGGCCCCAGCGGTCGCCGAGAATCCCAGCAGTAGTCTCGCATGGTTCACACCGAACATGAAAAGATTAGCCACTCATTCTGCCTGCCGAGCTTATGTCTTTGATTTCTGTCAATTCAAAGTGCCTTGGCGCAAGCGCACAAAAATTTTGGCCTGGCACCTCCAGCTCGCTCCTCCCTCCTTCTCCTGTCTTTGTTCCTCCCGCCATGGAGTGTGTGATTTCTCTGGGGAGGCCCACGTCCACCTTTCCGGCGCAATCCCGGGGTCGTCTCAAAAATGGACCTCCCGCGCCGAGCCCTATCCGTCAGGCATGTGCACTGAAGGGGCCAAGTGGTTGTGGGCCTCCGCCGGGGCCATCGAAGCAAGTCGTCTGAATCAACTCGCGTGCCAGTGACTTTATGTGATTGCTTGCCCTCTGAAGACGGCCTTAGCGGCCAGGGCATAGAATGGGAATTGGTGATGTTGCGAAGCCTGCTCAGTTGACCTCGGCTTGAGGCCGAATCCTTTGCGCTGCCTTCCCAATTCGCTGAGATCTCAGCTGGCTGTCGATTCCTACATAATCTGGTTCTGGCCCCTCGGGAGAGGAAAAGGTGAGCGCGCCCAGCAGAGCGAGCTTCTCCGAAGTACATTGCTGGGTGTGCGTACTTGTTGGCCGCTGGTGTCGCGGCTCAAGTCTACCTCCTCCTCCCCTCCACCTCCTCGCCGTGTCGCTGCATGCCGCTTCTCTCTACGGCGGTGATGTTGCGAAGCCTGCTCAGTTGACCTCGGCTTGAGGCCGAATCCTTTGCGCTGCCTTCCCAATTCGCTGAGATCTCAGCTGGCTGTCGATTCCTACATAATCTGGTTCTGGCCCCTCGGGAGAGGAAAAGGTGAGCGCGCCCAGCATCCTCCTCCTCCTCCTCCTCCTCCTCCTCCTCCTCCTCCTCCTCCTCCTCCTCCTCCTCCTCCTCCTCCTCCTCCTTCCAGCTTCGCGCTCCGACCTCCGGAAACTGGGACACCGCCGCGCTTCCAGCCCCCACCACCTCAGCGCTCCGACCTCCAGCATCCAGCAGCCGACTCTCCACGGTCACCTTCACCTATCGACCTCCAGGCTCCACCACTTCAGCGCTCCAGATTCCGGCTCACAGCATCCGACCTTCCACTCCCACCACCGCCTCGCGACCTCCAGCCTCAGCGCCCCGACCTCCAGCTCACAGCATCCGACCTTCCAATTCCACCACCACCACCACCACCTATCGACCCCCCGCCGCAGCGCTCCGACCTCCAGCACCCAGCATCCGAGTTTCCACTTCCACCTCCACCAATCGACCGCCAGCTTCCACCACCTCAGCGCTCCGACCTCCAGCATCCAGCTTTCCACTTCCGCCTCCACCTGTCGGTCTCCAGCTTCCGCCACATCAGCGCTCCTGCATCCAACGTCAAGGGTCCGACTTTCCATTTCAGCCTCCACCCATGGACCTCCAGCTCCCGCCACCTATGCGCTCCGACCTCCTCCAGCACCCGGCATCCGACATTCCACCTGCACCTCCACCTATCGACCTCCAGCCTTCGCCACAACGACCCAAGCCTGACCAGACCAGTCCCCGAGCGTCGCCCCAGCCGCAACAGCAAGAGCAATGACAGCAGCCCGTGGGACGCTGGGAGATGTGCCTGCTGCCACGGCCAGGCCTCCCGCCCGACCAGACCACCCCCTCCTTTTCCTCCCCCCCTCCTCCTCCTCCTCCTCCTCCTCCTCCTCCTCCTCCTCCTCCTCCTCCTCCTCCTCCTCCTCCTCCCGCCCGACCAGACCACCCCCCTCCCGGGCCCGGTTCCCTCTGGGTCATCCGGGACCACCCCCCGGCAGCGCGGAGCTCCGCAAAAACCCCCTATCGCGCGCTACCTCGGCGCACGGGGCTCCATGCGTCGACCACTCTGGGTGTCCATCCCTGGCGTCTCGATGGGAGCTCGTGATAGCAGGTACTCCAGATTTCGTACTAAAAGGGAGGGGGTCTGGACCCTCCAAGACAAGCCATTTCAGACCTCCCCCGTGGGAGAACCCTCCAAAACATCGTCCCCAGACCCCCCAGGCCCTCCAAGATAGCCTGGAAGAGACCCCCCCCCCGAAATGAGACCCCCATCCCTTTATTACGAAATCTGGAGTATGAGCTTGATAGCGAGACCGGCAATAAGATCGACTGCGTGATCGACTGCGTGATCGTGAGATCGATCCCGGGTTGCCCCGTCGGTGGCGCAAGGGTGCCCCGTCGGTGGCGCGGGGTGCCCCGTTGGTGGCGCGGAGTGTCTCGACGGCGGCTCCGGGTGTCCCGCCGTGTTGTTCCGATGGCAGTTCAGGAGATCAGCTGTGAGATCGATAGCGTGATCGATTGCGTGATCGATCATGCTCACGAGATCGATCGTGACATCGAGATATCGACAGTGAGATCGAGAACGAGATCGAGCACCACAGATCTTTGGCTGGGGGTGCCCCGTCGTGGCCAGGGGTGCCCCATCGTGGTGTCCCGATGGTGTCTCGTGAGATCTCTTGTGGGGGCGATAGTGAGATCTCTTATGAGATCGATCTTGAGATCGATGGGGGGACCGATAGTGCGATCTGAGAGCGGTAGTGAGATCGATTGTGAGGTTCGTGAGATCGATGGCGCTATCTCATCGCCATCACAGTCAGCGCAGTCGTTGTCAGTGGGTTTTCTTTTCCCCCCCCCCTCGGCATCCGTATCACCCGAAGGGTGGTCGTCTAGATAGTACACGGCTGCCTTTGGGGTTTTCCAGGGGCCAGTGGATTGATGGGGAAAAGGAGGACAGCACTTGGGTATCGGACGTTTGATTAAGGGGGTTTTGCTGGAGGGATTGTGGGTGCGAATCGGAAGTTACTTTTTGCCTTTTCTGGTTGTTTGGCGCATACGCCCGAGGCTTGCGGAGCTCGTTGGGCTGTACTCTTCTGGGTGTTTGTTGAGGCGTGCTCCATGTAAATGTCCAAAGCCATCCTGTGCTCCAATCGCACTAGTTTCTCGAGCTGCGTGCAGCCGTGGCGAGGAGAGGGCCCCCGAGAGTCAGGCATCCAGGGTTCGGCAAGGCGCTGCACTCGGAAAGGGCCAGGGTCGAGAACGGGACTGCGAGATGCGGCCAGACGCTTCCTGTGCGCCCGAATCTGCGATGCGGCCAAGGTTCAAGGACCACTGGCCCATGTGTTCGCCTGGTGGCATGCATCCAGATTCTTGTCCGATTGGCGAAGGATTTGAGGGCGTGACGAGCTGGGGCGGTTGTTACTGCCACGGCTGCAGGCATAGGCCATACTGCTTATGAGGTCAATGCGTGCTTTGGTACTCCCTTCTTCCTCCCTGCCCCTTTCGCCTTCGCGCTCGTCAGATAGAGCGCCTTGTGCCTGGATTTCCGGGCCGTGTATTCCGCGCGTGAGTTTCGAAGGTTTTCGACCGTCATTTCTGGGAGTGCATTTTCAGACGCTTCCGCGAAACTGTTTTCGAACCCCGCGCGCGGTCCGATTGCTGTCCGCTCACCCGCACAACGCCCCGAAGGGCTGGAGACCGCCGCTGCGGGCAGCGAACGCAGCAGCCAGTGCTAGGAAGCAGCTCTGGGCGGCGGCGCGCGACGTCCGCCTCGCCCGGGACGACGCGCGCAGGTCGAAGGAGTCGCTCGCCAGCGCCAGGCGGACTTGGCTCGCGCACACCGTGGACAGGACGGGCGGCGTTTCGGGCGCGCCCCCGACCCCGACCTCCGACGGGACGCGAGCGCGGGCCGCCGCCACGGGGAGCGCCGAGGCGGGAGCCTGCAGGCACGCCCTGGGGGCCGCGACGGGCTGGGATCCTCCTCCTCCTCCTCCTCGATCCTCCTCCTCCTCCTCCTCCTCCTCCTCGATCCTCCTCCTCGATCCTCCTCCTCCTCCTCCTCCTCCTCCACCTCCTCCTCCTCCTCGATCCTCCTCCTCCTCCTCCTCCTCCTCCTCCTCCTCCTCCTCCTCCTCCTCCTCCTCCTCCTCCTCCTCCTCCTCCTCCTCCTCCTCCTCCTCCTCCTCCGCCTCCTCCTCCTCCTCCTCCTCCTCCTCCTCCTCCTCCTCCTCCTCCTCCTCCTCCTCCTCTTCCTCCCCCCTCCTCCCCCCTCCTCCTCCCGCGACAGTGAAGCAGGCGCCTTGGGATCGCGGTCCCGGCTGCACGGCCACGGCGAGGCGCGCGGCATCCCCGCGCGTCCCGCATTCCGCCGCCCCGGCCCACTGCGTCACCGGCGCCGGTCTGCCGCAGGCCATCATCGACCTCCTGGGCGCGCGCACGACGCCCCGCACGCCCATGGCCCCCGCGGGCCACGTAGGCATCGGCCGAAGCGGGCGGGCGGACGACCTGATCAGCACGCAGCCTTTTTCGCCCATGCTGTCCCGCCAGGGGCATCAGGCGGGCCCGCGGCTTCTGCGCCCCCTCACGGCCGGGGAGAAGACCGCGGCTCGGGCGAAAGCTGGGCGGGCCAGCGCAGAGGAAGAGGCAGCTTCCGGGGCGTCGAAGAGGTTGGCGGACGCCACCTTCCAGCGCGGCGGCCACCGCCAGCGGGAGCAGGCGGGGAGAGCTTCCTGGGCAGCGGCGCGAGGACGAGCAGCCCCGCGGAGCACGCAGCGGGGGGGGGGGGCACTTTGTGTGCACACAGCCCCCTCTGCTTGGTTTCTCAGCGTGGGTCGCTTCCTCAGTTGCCTCAAGCCCCCGACTGCTCGAAAGTAGTCATCAACAGGGGTGCCCAGTACATGTTGTACATTTGATATGCTATGCCCAGCCCTACGTCGCTGTTCAGCTGTTATTTTCAAGCGGCCTCAAGAACAACTTGAGCCACGCACGGCTACAGAGAGAGAACACTCTGCCGCAGAGGGGCACGGGAATCTTGGACACGTCGACCGGTCCCCGCATTGCCCGTTTAAGCTTCGGGGCCTTCAGAGACCAGCACCGCCTCTATGCTCAATCAGTCCTCTCGTGCTGAGAGGCTGGTCTTCGCCCTCTCAGCGCGCCTCCTCTCTCTGTCAATCAGAAGTTCTCACCTGGCCTCACGAACAACTTGAGCCACGAACGGCTACATGAAGAGAACACTCTGCGACAGAGGGGCACTGGAGCTTTGCACGCGTCGATCGGTTCCCGCATTGTCCGTTTCTTGCCCAGATGCTCAATCAGTCACACAGCCAGGCAGTAAATATCACTGGTAATTTTGTTGAGAGCTTACCCCGTCAACCCCACCATAACCTATCCGAAATTGCTACAACCCCCCCTTCAAGTATCTTCGATGGCCGCCGGGAGGCGGAGTTGCGGCCACGTGCGCAAGACAGGCTTGGGTGTGCCGGCCCACCCGCACGCAAATGCACGTAGGTTCTGGGGGGCGCCAGCCCATCCTCGGAGAGATGGCGTGGCACCGAATTCGCGCCACTTTCGTTGCTCCGGTCGTCACCTCCCCAACTCCCCTCCGAGAGGGGGGCCATACACCGTAGGCGATGTTTAAGAAAACTTAAGTTTTCGGCGAGAGTCTCGATTATTCTTAATGTTTCAATGTAAATCCTAAGATTTTGATAAAAGTTCTGGGTTTTTATTCGAATTCTGAGACTCTGAGTTTCTTAACCCATGATTTCTTAAGCATTTCGCAGGGTGTACTGCGAAGGCCTCTCAGCCAGCGCCGCCGACCCTGAAGGCTGGACCCCCCCCCCTGGAGCCCCGCCGGCGCCCACCTCCAGGACCCGCTGGGATCCACCCCCCCCTTCAGGCGGGTCCTCCGGGAGGAGGAGGAGGAGGAGGAGGAGGAGGAGGAGGAGGATGGAATCTGTTGTCCCCCCTGTCCACCCCCTTGCCCCTCTTGTCCCTTGCCCCTCCTCCCCCTTGTCCCCCTTGTCCCCCTTGTCCACCCCCCCGGGGCCCATACCCTCTGGCGAGCCGCCCGGATGGGGTGCCCCCATTGTCCCCCTGCCCACGAGAGGACCCCCCCCCCAGGACCTGCCAGGACCCCCAGGGGGGGCGGCAATCTGACCCGGGGCCCCTCCCCTACCCCCCTCCTGCACCTCCCCCGCCAGGGAGTGGAGAAATTGGATGCAATCGGCTTAACTACGATGTTTCTTTTCTCTGTTCGTTCCTTCTTATCTTGGGACTGGCGACGACGACGACGACGACGACGACGACGACGACGACGACAGCGTCTCACACTTTTTTTGCGTCGGCGGCTAGACAGGGGACGTCTGCGCTGGCGACGGGATGCCTAAACGGGGATGCCGTTCGAGCGAATTGTGCCACCAAGCAAGAGGAGGAGGGGGGGGGGGGGGCGCGGCCGAAAAAGGGGCGGACGGAGGGAGCGGCTCAGGGGGGGACGGATCGTTCCCCGAACGAGCGGCGCGGCCAGTCCCGCCGGCGAGCCCGCGGCGGCTGCTGCGTCAGCGGGCCAGCGGCGGCATGGCCCAGTGCAGGGATGGATGGATATCCCGGGTAAAAAGGGTGCGTGACGGTCAGTATCATGGCCGGATGGTTGCCCAACCCCGGAGTGGGTGCGGGCGGAGCCATCAAGACATCGGCACCAGTGGCGGGCGGCAAGACCAGGCCCAGGGCAGGCGACAGCGTCTCACACACGCCGAAGGCTCGGCGGATGTTGTTAATTTCTATCACGACTTCGGGGCCGATCACAGAGCACGCCTACGTTTTTGTTAATATTTGTCCCGGACGCGTGGCCGATTAGAGAGCCTACATGTAAACCGTATTTTCTGCTACACCAACCTTGCCGCTTCTGTGGGATTCGGACGCGCGTTTCACGCCCGCGTTCCTCCTCCTCCTCCTCCTCCTCCTCATCCTCATCCTCATCACCATCATCACCATCATCATCATCATCATCATCATCATCATCATCATCATCATCATCATCATCATCATCATCATCATCATCATCCTCGTTTTGCTCATGCTCCCTCCCCCTCCTCCTCCTCCTCCTCCTCCTCCTCCTCCTCCTCCCCCTCCTCCTCCTCCTCCTCCTTCTCCTCCTCCTCCTCCTCCTCCTCCTCCTCCTCCTCCTCTCCTCCTCCTCCTCCTCCTCCGCCCTCCTCCTCCTCCTCCTCCTCCTCATCCTCCTCCTCCTCCTCCTCCTCCTCCTCCTCCTCCTCCTCCTCCTCCTCCTCCTCCTCCTCCTCCTCCTCCTCCTCTCCTCCTCCTCCTCCTCCTCCCCCTCCTCACCACCCCCCCCTTCTTGCGCAAGCGGAGGGGGGAGGTGAGGGGAGGGGGGCAAAGCGGGAGAGACGGGGCGAAACAGTGCGGGCACGGGGCGGGGCGCGGGGCCGCGGCAGCCGCAGGTGCCGTGCCGAAGCCGCGGCCCCGGACGCCGCAGCCCTGAAGGTGCCGGCGCGCCCCGTGCGCGGGGAGGGCCGGCGGCGGCGGGCCAGCGGCGGCGCTTTGGGCGCCGCGCGCCGGCCAGGGCTGCTCATTTTGCCCCCCTTTGCACTGAGTCGCGTCCTCTTCCTTCGCTCCTGCATCCTACTCCGCTTCTCCGCTCGCCCTCCTGCTGCTCGTCCGCTGCCGTCCCTGCCTCCTGCTTCCCTTCCTCCGCCCTCCCTGCGTGCTCTGCATCCTGCTCCTCCTCCTCCTCCTCCTCCCCTCCCTCCTTCCTGTTCCTGTTGATCATCCGGCCCTTTTGTTTCTCTTTTTTTTTCATTTTTATTCATTACTCCTCCTCCTCCTCCTCCTCCTCCTCCTCCTCCTCCTCCTCCTCCTCCTCCCCCTCCTCCTCCTCCTCCTCCTCCTCCTCCTCCTCCTTCCTCTCCTCCTCCTCCTCCTCCTCCTCCTCCTCTCCCTCCTCCCTCTCTCCTCCTCCCTCCTCCCTCCCTCCTCCTCCCTCCTCCCTCTTTCCTCCGCCCTCCTTCTTCCTCTTCCCTCCTCCCTCCTCCCTCCCCGCTCCTTGCTCCTCGCTCCTTCCTCCTCCCTCCTCCCTCCGCCCTCGCCCTCCTCCTCCTCCTCTTCCTCTTCTTCCTCCTCCTCGTCCTCCTCCTCATCCTCTTCCTCCTCCTCCTCTTCCTCCTCCTCCTCTTCCTCATCCTCCTCCTCCTCCTTCTTCCCCTCCTCCTCGTCCTCCTCCCTCTGCTTCAGTGCGCACACCAAACCAGCAGTTGGCCTGCCAGCAGATGCCACACTGAAGTTTCTGATTACCCTCATGGCACTGGGACACCTTACGGTCTTAACATCGACTGGAGATATGCCCCTGGATTTCTTCGCGCAAGATTTCTTGGCGTATTGCGCTCCTCATTCTCAGCGTCTTGGGCGAGTCTGGCAGGCGCTGAGGCGAGAATGCCGTTTCGGGCGACCATGGACGATCTGGTCAGGGAACATTCTCGGTCACCCTGAGGGCGTCCTGAGTAGAAAAACACAATACGTGGGAGTCCCAGTGAACCCGGTGGCATGCAGACCGAGTGATTGTGCAGAGGAGGGGGAGGGAGGAACATCGGAGAAGGCGAGTCGGAAGAGAAGAGAGGATGGAGAAGGGAGGAAATCTGAGAGGAGGGAGACAGGAAGAAGAGCAGGAGCAGGAGCAGAAGAAGGAGAAGCAGCAACGTGAGCAGCAGCAGGAGGAACAAAAGGAGGAAGAAGAGGACGGCGTAGTACTCGTCAGTAGTCTTTTCGAAACTGGGTGCTCTCCAGGTCATTGCAGAGCCAGGTTTGGGACGGGTGTGGGGAGCTTCCTCCTTGTCATTGTCCTCGCTGCCAGTATTTCTGCCCATGTCGATCCCCCTTTTCCTTGTCATCCTCTTCCTCGTTCACCTCATCTGCTGGCTTGTCTACGTGCTACGCCTGTTAGTTCGTAGGCTTCGGCCGTGTTGGTAAGTGAACCTTGCATAGTATTGTTTGGAGTCCCACGTCCCCTTCCATATCATCATCCTCGTCCTTCTCATTATCATCCTGACATGTCCGTCCTTTCTGGAAGAGGTCGCCTTCTTCCGAACTGCCATTGGGCACCTTGCTGCGCTCAGCGCAGGCACTGACTGTTTATATCATTGTGTTCTGTAACACACGGAACGTGGAAGCACTCGTTGCATGCCTATGTTCAGGATAGGGCTTTGCAAGTTCAAGCACGCAGCTTGTGGAGTGAGCAGCACATTGCCAGGCAGATCCGCAGATCGAGGACTAAGGCAGGAGCACTGGATGAGCGATGGCATCATCAGGCCAGAGACTGGCACACTCCTGTCTTCGGCTGAGGACAGGTAGGTGGCAGCCGATATTCCCATGGTCGCATGGTCGGCCTTCCATCCGCCGCGAGACCCTGGAACCCTTTCTCGAAAAATCGCCGTCCAGCGCTCCCACACTAATGTTGCAAACTACGTTGGCAATCGAGTTTGGATAAGCTGTCTCACCAACGCTGCTCACTCTACAGGATCAGCTGCGCGGTGGCAATCGGGTCTCAAGCCCATCGGGCCTGTACAGAGTTGGCAACGCCTGCAGCAGACCTCAAGCACATTTCGTGCACAGGATGATTATCCAAACTGCGTTTGCACTATAAGGTTGCTCATCTGACCCAAAAAAATGTGTAACGATCGCCTGCCCCAACAGGCCTGAGCAGACCCAGATGCCCAGACTGGCCCCGACTAGTTCTGGCCAGTCCTTTGCTTTGGGCGTAGCCCGTTGCCATGGGTTGTCCCCCAGCTCGCCTTTCCTGATTGGCCCTGACTTGTCTTCGTGTGTCAACGATGTCGCTCCTCCCGACTGGCCCGCCGATTTCGCTTGCCCGCCTAGTTGTGTCTAGCTTGTTGCGTGGGCCGTTCTTCGTGCTCGCCTGCCTCGACCAGCCCCCGTGCCACGAGCTGCTGCCGACTGCGCCTGCCGTGGAGTCTCCCCCCATGCGCCCAGCTTGCGCACTGCTTGCGTTGTCTTCGATGTCGCTTGCCGCGGAGGGCCTCGACTGGCCTTTTGCCTTCGCTGCTTCGGCCAGCCCTGAGTAGACCGTTGCCTCAAGTTCTCGCAGGCGTTGCTCGCCCTGGCTAGCTCTGAGCAGACCCCTGCACAGGAGTGCTGCTGCTTTCTTTTGGCCCGACGAGGTTCGACTACAACCGTGTTTGGAGTTGTCGCCGATGTCGTTTCCCCTGGCTAGCCGCAACCAGCTCCTTGCTTTCAGTTGATGCTGACTTAGCTTGCACTTGCGCTTGCGAGTCCACGATTGCCACATTGTTGCAGGTTGTCGTCGATTCCGCTTGCCACGAACAACTTCGACTAGCCCCAATTAGCTTTGGATGTCGTCGATTTCGCCTGCTCTGCCCCGAATGGATCCAACTGCTCCCTTGTTTGAGTTGTCGGGGACTTCGCTTGCCCCAAGTAGCCTTGGCTGGCTCCGACTGTCCCCCTGCCCTGGATCGTCGCCGATTTCACCTTCTCCGACTAGCCCAAACCAGCACTTTGCCCTGGGCTGTCGCCGATTTCGTTTGCCTCGAGTAGCCCAAAGCAGACCGTGGCCCCAGCCAGCCTCGACTGTTTCCGACTGGCCTTGCGCCCTGGATTATCGTTGATCTCGCTTGCTCCGACCAATCCCGACCGGCCGATTGTTGATTGTTTTGGGCCGTCACCGATTTTGCCTGTCCCAGACTAGGTCTTTGTCTTGGGTCGTCGTCGCCAAGATCGCTTGCCCCGAACATCCTACAAGCTAGATCCTACCAGCCCCAATGTCAATGTGCGCTTCATGTTCAATATGGCAAGTAACGCATCATGCAGTGTGTTATCTTGAGGTGTTGGACCATCATATGTGTATCTATCTGGGTGTCTGAAAATAGACCGAAGGCTCTGAGTGAGCGTGGAAGCTGCCCGCACGCGACGATAAGATCAGACATAATTGTGCGGATACGATAGTGCGTGCGTTCAAGTGGCCGTTTGCATATATCACTGGTTGAGATGTAGTAGTTGCAGATGCGTGGTCTTGTAGATGCACACGCCACGAGCATATTCGCGTGCGGACATGAACGAATGGTCGCCGTTCCAACGAGGACAGCAATATCGCAATTTCATCACGAGAACATCATGCAACGCAGTAGAAAGTATGATCAATCCAACAGTCACACGAGCCCCCACACCCTAACATGGACTACCCACCTAACGAAACCCAGACCTCGGTGACACCGAGCCAGGCTCGGCGGAATGGGCGTGACACCTGCATTCTGGCGACACGCTTGTCTCGGAAAGATGCTCTGGCTGGTGCGTGGGCCACATCTCTGATTGAAAACGTTATTGCCGCCTAGGCGCCGGCGACATCTTTTATTGAGCGTGTTGTTCTCACTTGAACGTGGGCCACATCTCCGATTGAAAATGTTGCTGCCGCTGAGGCGCCAGCTACGTCCTTCATTAAGGATATCGTTCTCTCGCCTTGGCGCCAGCCAAGTGTCTGATTGCAAGTGCTGCTACCGCCTAGGCGCTGGCGACATCCTTCATTGAGCACGGCGTTCTCGCCTTAGCGCTGGCCAGATCTCGGACTGAAAATGTGGCTGTCGCCTAGGCGCCGTCAACACCCTTCATTGAGCATGTCGTTCTGGCCTTGGCGCAGGCCTTGCCCGTCTCAGTGGTGCTACTGGTTGCGCTAGAGCCCGGTCTTGTGTGTAGTGGGACTCCTCGCCCACGACTACGACGGATGTTTTCGGATCACCAGTGGCCACATCCAATATGTTGATTTTGTGTTGGCCTCAACCCTGGCCACATCCCTGATTGCGAATGCTGCCATCCACGACACGACGGCTGCTGTCGCCTCAGCGCCAGCCGCATCCACGATTGCGACCGTTGCTCTCGCCTCGACACCAGCCACATCCATGATTGCAGATGTGTTGCTCTCGCCTCGGCGCCCGCAGCATCCACGATTGCGAAAATTGCTCTCGCCTCGGCGCCGGCCACGCCCACGATTGCGAAAGTTGCTCTCGCCTCAGCGTCGGCAACATCGATGATTGCGAGTGTTGTTGTCACCTCAGCGCCAACCAAATCCACGTTTGCGAAAGATGCTCTCGCCTCAACGCCGGCCACATCTAGAATTGCGAAAGTTGCTCTCGCTTCAGCGCCGGCCACATCCATGACTGAGATCTCGCTTCAGCGCTGGCCTCATGCATGATTACGAAAGTTGCTCTCGCTTTAGCGCCGGCCAGATCCTTCTCTGGAGACGAAGAGGGATTAGTGATTAGTGATACAATTGGCACTTTTGCATTGCATGTTGCTGTGTCGCCCCATTATGTTGCATCATGTGCTACAGCGCCCGCGCGTGACACACTGATATCGCCGAGCCATTGGTCACGCTAGATTTCGTGGGTCGGGTTAGCTTCGGCGTAGTGTCGACAAGGCCCAGGTCAGTTTAGATAAGGGATTTGCTACGTTAGGCGGCGGCTTGTAAGCATCGCATTTGTTTACGAGGCGTCTGGTACTCATTCTTGCTCGGAAACCAGGGTTGCGCGCGCAGGTACCATTCGGCAATGTATGAACTGTCCTACTCGGGCCCATCGCTGCATAGAGATACTGGGCTTGTGGTTTGTCTACAAGAGAGCGCTGCGCCAATGCAACCAAGTGCATGCTCACTGAAACCATGGTGAGCAGCACGGTTGCCCGTCGCCTTTTTGTTGCAGCACTTGATAGGGATCTCCCCACAATTCTCTGCACATGCCAGCTTCGCCCGGAAAGTTGTGGCGATTGCTGATGTGCTGAATGTCTGGGGCGGCCAAGAGGGGGGTTATGACTGGGGGGGGATATCATGGCGGGGGCCATGATATCTCCCCAGATTTCATTGCGCCTCTTCTTATTTCAATACGTCCCCAGCCTCCCCCTGGGCCGAGCACATGCCGCCGGCCATGAATTGCGACCCCCCTTCTTGGATGCCCCCCTCTTGGACGCCCCCGAGAATGTTGTGGGCATGCCACACCGCCCTTTTGTCACTGGCTTCCTGTTCCGAGCCCGTGGCTCCGGTGTATTATGCGTTTACCATACGCTGCCTGACGCCAGTATGACTGAGAATGGGCATCTCGATTCTAACACTCATCGCATGACAGCCGTTTTCACGGCGAGTGCACT